TATTTGTTAATCTGTTTCACATTAAGCTTGTCAATTTCTTACCAGGTTGTGCTCCATTCTATTGAAAGTTTACCAGAGACAAAGAACATTTGATCATAGTAAGTATCAACATTTTCCCTGTAATGAATTGGATGTTTGAGGATACCTCGATTGATTGTTGGATGTTTCATATGATCTGGAGTGTTTAAAAAGACAAAACATATTCTATCTTAATTTCTTATGAAAGCAATAATTGGTTGAATGAAAGTTGAAACTGAATGTGTGTCTATCATCTGTTCATCACGTTTATTCACTTTTCTGCAAGTGTGAAACTGCATATTATTAATACAGAGGGACTTGTTTTGCTATTTTTTTCATTTTACTCTTCTATAATCATTTAGTTGTTGTCATTGTAATTTTTATTAGTGATAGCCGTTGTATTTACTTGTGTTTAACATAAGTATTTATAAGTATTTGTTGAAGAAAGGAAGAGAAATTGGGCAAATACCTCCAAAATGAGAGCTAGAGCATAAAACATTGCGATGAACGATTTTTTTAGACCAAGAGAATGACGTTCTGCCCATAATTTGAGTATAACGTATTCTATAGAACTCGAAATCACTCGATTCGAGTTTCATGTGAATGCTAACTCAATAAGGTACAAATTTTATGAAGACGTCATGGCCAAAATATGAAAGGAACAAGACTCAATCAACCAACAAAGTCATATGTTGCTGGTGGGGTTTCAGGATGCATACCTCTCAGTGTTTTAGCCATAACGTTTGATTGGATGAATAAAATCACGTCATTCAAGTTTTGGTGGATAGACGACTTCATTATCTACAACTTTGGTGAAGGACTCATGTCCAAATTCGTAGCGGAACATCCCCAAAATCCCAGGACAAAACCGGCGCCGGAATTTCACCAAACCAGCGCCGGTTGCATTTAATCTGCCATTTTCCCGGTTGGCCGACGTATAACCGGCGCCGGTTTTACCCTATAACCGGCGCCGGTTATAGTGTTTTTCAGTATTATTTCAGCCCCGAAGTAAAACCGGCGCCGGTCAAGCCTAAAACCGGCGCCGGTTAAGCCTGAATCTGCAGAATACAAAGAGACGTGCAACCATATCTTGATGGGAAAAACTCACCTTCCTCATGATCTGATCAAATATATCTTCCCTGATTGTTGGGCTCGAATAGACTAAAAGATGCCAATCTTTAGCCTATATAAAGCCCCCAATTCATCAAACAAGATCATCATTCCATTCTTAAAGATTAAATTTCAGTTTTTATATTTCCTTTTTGCATTTTCTTGAAGTGTTGGAGAAGAAGCCATTTCTCTCCTCTACAATTGGTTCTAGGTATTATTTCTTGTATGTTATTGTATTTCATTGTTCTTAGTTACACTTTTGTAATTAATATGAGCCTAAGGAGCTAAGTTCTTAGCTAAGGCTAGGGATGAACTTCTATGCCCACTAGGTGTTTGATAAAAGTTCTAAACCAATAAATTGTGATTTATCCTTTACATTTTGATTGTTTATGACTATGGTGTACAACATAGAAGTATGTTAAACTTAGTTTATGCTTGCAATTAACGTTGAAGTCTAAACTATGAACATTAAAGGATAAACATATATATTACCGAGAATAGAAATATATCCGGTATTATATGATACGGGTGTGATGTCTTTATATTCAACGGGATTTTCGGTAGATGAATGTAAGCCGTAACGTGACTTACACGTAACGAAAACCACGCTCTCGCTGCCTTAACCGGAGTTGAGAATATATTAGCGACATCGTATTCATAATTTTTGGTAAAGAACTAATATTCAACCCTATTAAAGCATTTAAGTGATTCCCGAAGCCTTAGTTGTTGTTATCAATCACTTTAATCAAATTAATTTAAGTTATATCTCTGAAAATTAAAAAAAAAAGAATCAAGTTGTTGTTTTCACAACAACACACAACTCAAAATCCCTGCACTTTACTCATTTATTTATTTAAAGTCATCTACTCTCGGACTAAATTAAACAACGTTTCCCTGTGGATTCGACCCGGTATTTTACCGGAATTTATTACTATATCGGCACTTGTACACTTGCAAGTTTAGCCCGGTCAATTAGCTTTAGTAATTATTTTACATTTTTAAATTTAATCAACTTTCTGACTGTGACTGTTGATTATCCACTACATGGCACCCATGCCTAAAGTGATATATGTTGGTCCTCGTAGTTTTCGGAGAGGTAATTCTCTTGTTTGTTGCTTAAAATGCTTTTCTGTTGCAGGTATCAATTAAATTTGTATAAATAATAAATTTAATTGATGTATTCTATTTGACAGGCAAGAAATAGATTTAAAATTTAAATAGGATAGTGGGGCTTGAGGTGGTAAGATTGTGTAAATGGAATCTTAAATTCAATAAAACAAATATATGTTGTAATTAGTGTGTACTATTCACTGTAAAGACATTGTTGTGAAGGAAATAAATGTTGAACCTGGAGTTCAAGGCCTTTCAAGATTTGAGACAATGTCTAATTAGCTTTTAACTGATTTGTTTTGAATTTTATGTTGTTTTAAGAAACTTGTTAGACACTATGAGTTAAATGTTTTATACTACGCAATACATTTGAGTTGAGTGTATTTGAAACTATCATATATTTGAATCAAGTGTTTGTGATTATATTATTTTGAATAGTGTGCAATTATAATTTTTTGAGTTTTCTGAAGACTTATCAGCAGGCTTCAGGACATCTTGTGAATACGCCATCATATGTTGGCTTGGTGTAAGACACATGATAATCTTAAACATGCATTCCCTTTAAGGCAAGCTTGCCAATTCCTGTACATGTCCTTCACAAGCCTTTGATACAGAAGTGGAGAAAATCTGGGGAACAATCAATAAAGCTTAATTTGGCTTTTTCAGAAGAAAGGAAAGGACCCCAGGAGGCTTTATTCCTAGAAATCATGATGTAAACTTGATTGCAGCAACTTTCATTTACTCTTTTGAACTTTCATACCTCTAAAGAGTTGGATATCCTAAATCACGCTCTATGTTGGTGTTGTTTTGTTGCAATGGGATCTCTCTAATTTTTTCAATTTTTTTATTATTATCTCAGATATCAAATGGAAACCTAAGTAGGGGTTACAAATGTGATGCTCAATCTGAAAAATCACAATAACCCCCAACAAAAGACCGTGCTGGAGCAGCTAAATAGTTTAAGGGTGAGACTATTTTTTGTGCAAATGTGCCTATGCTTACAACTTAATATTGATCTAGAGTTATGTTTATACTTCGTATTTTAGGCTGCATTTTTAATAAAATATCTAATTTGTGATCTTATTTTTATAAATATATAATTCTGTAACTGTTTGTATTTAAGAATTTTTGTTTCATCAGATTACCAGAAGAGGTGAAGAAGCAAAATCAAATGGTATAATACAGAGTAGATACTGTATAAATTGAGTTAACAAGTTCAATTGTATACTTAGTGTGACACTTGAATGTTGTTTTTGTTTCTTATTGTTGAATTGTATCATGTGTATTACTTTTTGTTGCATCATGTTTCTTTTTGTTGTAACATGTTGCTTTTTGTTGCATAGTGTTGCTTATTGTTGTACTGTGTTATTGATCGTTGTTTTTATTGACTTAGTTTTTTTTATTTAGGTTTCTATTACCTTGGTGACTTTCTTAAAATCAAAATGTCTATGTAGATTTAAAAACAAAAACCTAAAGTGATAAATATAGATCCATGAAAATAAACAACTTGAAACAGAAAGAAACAATAAAAAACAAAAATTTCATCGTTATAAACAAAAGAAAACACATAGGAACAATATGCAACAAAAACAAATAAAATAATAATAATAATTCAATAGTTTAATTGTTGTAAGAATTATTACATTATAAAATTCGTATTGTTATTTTTTCAATTTTTTCAATTTTTTCAAAGTTCATTATTGTTATTTTTCAAATTTTTATTCCTTGATTTTATTTTAATTTTAATGTTTTTAAGGTCACATGATTTTCTAATTTTTTAAAATTTTATTTAATCTATTTTTATTTTTCCCACTGTAATATAAAATTTAATTTAACTTTTCGAATGATCTCAAAATTTATATTTATTTGAATTTTTATTTTCTTTAATATGTATATTTTCCTAATTTTTAAAATAATTACGTTTTCATACAAGATTCCAATTATTTTTCATATTATTTAATATTTTCAAAATATTTTTATCTTATATTACGTATTTTTAATAATTTTAAGGTTATCAATTTTTTTTTAACTATTTTACACTTTTTTTTTTAATTTTTTGATTTTTTATATTTTATAAAATAAATTATATTAACTATTTAAATTTAATTTAACTACATTAAATATATTTCCCAAGTTTTTTTTAATGTTTTTACATTTTTTTTTATTTTTCTAACTTTTTTGTAAAATTTAAATTCATTTTCTTTAATTTTTAAATTTAAATTACATTTTTTTAATTTTGCATTTTTTTAGTTTTATTTTTTAATTTTAGTTGTTTTTTATGTTTTTAAAATTCAATTTCCCTTTTCTAATTTTATTGTTTTCTATACATTATCTACAATATGAGTTAATGAATTTTTATATTTTTAGTTTAAAAAAAGTTGAGTGCCTGCACGTTAAATGTACTATTCGTATTAGTTTTGAGAAGAGGAGCATACAGATTCGAATTTACATGCATGGGTGTACGTGTCAGGCGAAAGAAATTTTAGTCCGTGAGCTTGATACGTGTTAGTGGTCCATTTTTGAAAAGAAACTTTTGAGGTAATCTATATTTGAATTTAAGTTCAAAGGGGAGCAAAAGTGATATTACTTTCATTTTTTGTCTACTTGTGAAAATTTCCCACAAATATATATGCCTAAGCCCGCTAATTTGTGCGGGCGGGTTGGGCGGGCCGGGCGGGGCGGCCCGGTTTTGTACAGGTCTACACAAACCGACGGTTGTAATTTTGAGCTGTCAATTGTCAAATCATCGTAACGCACGCGCTTAAGAAATAGAGAACCGCAGCAACGAATTCTCTGAGTTGAATTCGGCACATGTTGTAATTCCTTCCATTCTGGGAAACGGATACTCACTCCTCTCCCTCCTGCTTTATTATCTTTACTCTTCCTCCATGCTTTTCACCCTCTCTACTTTTTCTTTCTCCCCCCGCACTTCTTCTCCTCCGCCGAACCTCTCCCCGGTTGACTTCTCCCTTTGCCGTCGTTCCTTTTCCCGGCGATACTCCGCCATGCCTTCTGGTGACAGCTTCATCACCCCTCCCTTTGAACTCACCACCGAGACCGACTTTGATCGCATCGTCTCCTCCGATGGACTCGTCTCCATTTGCGGCTTCGGCTCCCTCCTCTCAGGTATCTGCATTTTTTCTGTCTTTGCTATTTGGAGCATCTCGAGAATTCTGAGGAGGAACTTGTTTGTTTTGTTTTGTTTGCGGAGCAGAGAGGAGTGCTCGGAGTACATTCCCCGGTCTGATCAGCTTCAGAGTGGCCAAATTGAGCGGATTCCGGAGGGTTTTTGCTCATGTAGCGCCTATCTTCTTCGAGCGCGGCATAGCTAAACCAGAAACCAAGGTACCTCTCGATTTGCTTATTTTTTGTAAACTGCTATTCTTTCAAATTGCTCTTCAAGTGGCTCTGAATGGGGGGGAAAGTAGTTTAACTGGATGATTGTCTCGTATTTGTGTAGAGAAATTTGAGCTTCTCACAATTTTACTTTTTAATGACGCTATTCTCAAGCAAGATTATGTGGATATTGCAATCCATCATTTCATACAAGTTACCAACTGTTGTTGATGAGTTTATCAGAGATCGGATTGTATCCAGTACTAGCTAACATATTAGACTCAATCTGGTTTTACCCAAGTGTCTTATGGCAACCCTATTTAAATTCGAATTATATGTCTATGATAGGGACATGTGTAGGGCTATGTTGTCATTGAAAGCTCAAATTTATTAATGGGTGGAGCCTTGTGAATCTAATTATTGATTTAGATGCTTCATTTTGTTTGCTGAACTCTGTTAATTATATTTGTATAAGTACCTGAACTCTGTTAATTTTTCAGGAAATATCAAGCCTGAGTGTGGAGCCTTGTGAAGGTGAAACCCTTATAATTTCTGCTTTCGAAATTCCAAAATCTGAGGTACAGAGAGATTCATTTGTTTTTATCTTGGTTTTATTCGGGTTATGGACATTTGACTTCACTTTTTGTCTCTTGCTTTACGAAACCAGATACCGGCATTCATTGAGAGGGAGCATGAATTTCGGTTTCTTGCTGTTAGTTTCTTTATCCTAATTTATCCTTTCTCGAAATGTGGCATACATTTAGGATTGATTTTGAGGAAACGAATTTGTTTTCTATTCTTTTAGGTCATCCCTGAAACATTGAATGGATTATATTATACAAATTACGCAGTAAGTAAGATTGGAGCAAGTAGCTGTCTTTTGTTCATCCAGTGGACGTAATACTCATTCCTAATAAAATGTTTACCCTGTTATAATTTCTGTAGGTACTGTGTGCACGTTATACAGATGAGGAGTATTTTAAGGAGAGATGTAAAGGTAGGTATACTCTTATAGATGATGACAGTGATAAATAATTTGGAAAGCTAAAAGTATCTCCTAAGCATTGGTTGCAAAAAAGAAGATAAACTCAACTTCAGCTTTAAACAGTGGGATAAAGATATGTTAGTGTCCTTTTGGTGGCATTTTTTGCTTATCACCCAGTTTTTTTACCCAACTCAAATTCTTTTATTTGATGTGCTAAATTGGTTACAAATTAAAAAGGTAAAATTTGAGATACTTGTTTGACTGATTTGGCTAAAGAGGAGCGTTTTTAGTTTTATTAATAATTTTTTTCCTTCATAATTAAGCACATTTTTCTTCATAGTTTTTCCATAACTTTAACATTTTCAGCAGAACCAACCAATTTTAGTGCTACCCAACAGGCTTATTTATTTAATCAGTGTTTTAACTTGTCATTTATACAAAAAGTTGGTTTACAGTTACATTTCTTCTTCCTTTCAGGAGACCGTGAGACATTGTTTGAGCGATACGGCCAATATAACATTGATAGGATCTGGCGAGATGATATTTTACCCTGCCGTGCTTATCTACGCCACTGGTGGGGGTTTCATAAAGTGGTTAAAACCATTGATTAAATATTTAAACCAACAAAGGATTAGAAGTTCAGTTGCCTGTAGTTAGCCCTATGATTATTATCTTGTTTTGTAGTGCACAAGCTAAATATTTCAAACTTTAAATTGGTGTAGTGTCCTGGCAGCGGAAAATCTCGGTGAGGTAGCATCCAATAATTTTATGGATCATACGTACCTTGGAGACCGGAAAACAACCATTCGTGATTATCTAGCAACAACTGGTTCGGGCATCATGGAAGAGCAGCTGCCTGGCCTTCTAAGAGAGAGATATGGTGGTTAACATCATGGCTATCAAGTGTGCCTGTTTGGTATGGCCGTATGAGTAGTTGAATTCGCTTAACTTTAGGTGTTTCCGTAAGGATATATGTTTGGTAAAACTAATTTCAGCCAAATGAGTAAGCCAAAAGCTATTCTGTTTATTCTGTTGATCATAGTAAGCGTGATCAGGCTAACTAACAGGCTCATAGTATTTGTTGACTACTGGTTCTTTTCTTTAAATCAGTCGTCTCATCGTTCATTGGTCATTGACAGTCAATGTATGGTTAATATCTATTTCTTCGTTTCAGCTAAGATGTTTTTTTTCTATCGATCTACAGTAGAGCGGTAAGAAGTTGTATACGTCATCTCCATATTCAGTTGTAGTTGTGACATAATCTTTTTGAAACTGGAGGTCGCTACACTTGAAGAAACTGCAATATGCAGGCTACTTGGTTAAATTTTGTTGGTACATAATGGTCCATGTTGCTGCATATTTGTCATATTGTGGGCTCCTAGTGTAGAGTTCAAGTGCTGATAAATCTTGATTGTTCAAGTCAGTAGTATAAAAACACGAAACAAGAAATGTAGTAAGTGGCATTTTAAAAACATAGAACATGAAACGTGCAAGAGGCAGGCCACTATAAACCAACAGCTTAGGAGAGAATATGAAGCCAAATAAGAACGAATGCAAATATACAGGGATGTAGCACTGGTGCTCATTAAGAATTTTGAGCAATCCGACCTGATATGTGTCCCATAAGCCCAAAATGGAGAAGCAAACACCTTGTCAAAGTTGACACAAGATGCACCCGAGCATCTCACTCGCATTGTTAGGATACAAGAGCGGGATAAGCCAATCATAGAGACAATGAAAGGGCAAGAAGAGCTACCTATTGGGCCAGCCGCCAGCACCATGTTGTTGGATTGATGACCTGGTGAGATATAAGGAGGATGGAATGCTACCAAACGACAAAGAAAAGCAAGGGTGATCAGAAGACGAGCTCCATGCTACGTGATTCGAGACAGAATGCTTTACAAGCAAAGTTATAATGGTGTGCTATTAAAATGCCTAAGGCATGATCAAGCCGAACAAGTGGTGGTGTGAGATATACATTATGGAGGGCCTTTGGTGATAACTTCATTAATGAATCTTGTGCATTTACATCCACGTCATGGAGGCAATGCTACTTGTTTGTCAAGATTGTTAAATCAATCAACAATGAATTTGAATAGATTTTTTGTTTTGTTTTGTTTCCAGAGCTCAAGCATTATACAGTATATAAGAAATAAATTTTAATTTTCTAGCAACAAATGAGCATTTTGTTAGATTAACTTCAAAAGAGTTGATAAGTTTATTGGACAAGTAAAAGGCATTCTCTTCACATCATTTTGGCGTGTCTCAAGAAAATATTGTGGCTTTCCCGATGTTCCAAAAAAAATTGTGCCATTTAGTCTCTTGCACATTGTTCAAGCATATTATTTGTGTAGCGAAATGGACTATTTCATCGATTATAAGTTCAAATTAAGTCAAATAGGAAAAAAAATCATCCAAATTTTCACAATTTTTGGGTGAGTTAAAAACCCTCAATTGCAATAGATTCACGTGTCTTGACTGTTTGTAGTTGCATCGAATGTTCGATAATCCAACACTATTATATTGTTATCCAAACAAATTTTTAACAAGAAGTCATACTTTGAGGAAATAGATGATGTTAAATTTTCCTCACATGTACTCTTTTATGTGTGAAAAGAACAAACAATGTCATTAAATCATATACTAGATCTTGTAATCCAAATTACTAAAAACTCTTTGTTGACATTCAATTGAAAATTATCTACTCCCTATATATTATTGCATTGTCTATTTGTGTTTCCTCTATTATTTTCCTCCTCTTACTCCTTATCATCTATATCCTCCTTGATCACCTCCTTTTTTTTTATTATGAAGAAAAAGAAAGAAAAGAATTAAGAAGAAAACAAAGAAATTAACAAGTTTCAAAAGTTCTTTCTTTATTAACTATCCCCAAAAAACTTATAATATTTTCATTTATAATTTTTTTTGTATTTTATCGGTATAACGGTATAATTAAGTTAAATTTAAAGTTCATTTTTTTTAATCCTACTTGTAGGGGTGGAACAACCCTTTGAGGTGCGGTGTAAATTTAAAAAAAAAATTGAATTGACACCACTGAAAAAAAAGTTATATGTAAAATATAGATAATCTCTTATAAAGTGACACCACTAACACTAGATCATGCCTCTATCCGGCTACTTGATGTACACTTTTGTGTACGCTTGTCTATAAAATGGATAAATAGTTCATCCAAAAACAATTTTAATTAAATTGTTTACGTACAAGGATTTCACTACTTGTGTACAAAAAAATGTATTAATAAAAAGGGAGAATTTGACTTTGCACCCCACTTTTTGGGTGATATTGGATTTTGCATCCCATTTTAAAAAACATTTGACTTTGCACCTTATCATCTAAAATTTGCGAAGGAAAATTTCAAAATGGGGTGCAAAGTCAAATGATTTTGAAGTGAAATGAGGTGCAAAATCAAAATTTTTTTAAAATGGGGTGCAAAGTCAAATTCATCCTAATAAAAAAGTGTATAAATAGAATTTATAATTTTTTTTCTATTCTGAACTATAATGAAATTATTCGATTCCTCTCTGATCTTTCCTTAAGGGAGTGTTTGCAACTCAAAGTGATTTTAAAAAAAATGATTAGTTGTAAAAGTTGATAATGTTTGAGAAAAAAGTGAATTTGAAAAGTACAAATTGATTGTGTTTGATAAAATAAATATTTTTTATATAATAGAAAAAGTAAAAAATACTTTTGAGTCAAAAACCAAGAAAAGATTTTTTAAATAGAAGTTGTTAATCGAAAACAGTAGTTTCATCATCTATTGTTCTATATAGTAAACTTGAGTTAGAAAACAATGATGTGTCAATCTCTAATTGGTTAATTAAATCTTTTTTATGACTATTGTTAAAACAATTAATGAATTCTAATTGATTCACGGCAACTACCATCAATCGTGAACAACGGCTGCAAAAAGGACTCTCATTTGGAGCAAAAAAACTATTTTTTTAAAAAGTGACATAACTTTTGTGTTACTCCAACTTTTACAAAACATATATCAAAATTCATAGTTTTTTATGATCTTTCATATGACACCAATATTGTCATATATAAAAATAAAAAATTATTATCAATTTTTTTAAATATAATAAAGCTGAGTTAGAAATTTTATTTAATAACAAAAATTCTATTACTCTTCCTACTACAACATTTAATTTATTTAAGTTGACTCGGTTCATCATTGCTATTTACTCCGTGTATGACACTACTCATTTGGAGAAAGAAAAGAGAAAAAACTCCTTTTTTTGTATTTCAATAATTTTTATAAAAAATACATCTAAATCCATAACTTCTTATGATATTTCATATGACACAAATATTGCATATACAAAAAATAAACTATTGTTTTATATAGTAAAGTTGAGTTAAAAATAAACTATTGTTTTATATAGTAAAGTTGAAGTGTCAATCTCTTATTGACTAACAAAAATAATTAATATCAATACTTAAATGTTACAAAATACATACGAAAAATATTGAAAATCCCAATATTTTCAATATTATCAAGGAAAAGTTCCCAAAATAGGACTAAAACAGTTTGAAAATTTCAAAATAGGACTGTCATGTTTTTTATTCCCAAAATAGGAGTAATTACTGCCAAGTTTGGAAAATACTGCCATGTTTGAAGTCCGGTACTGCAGAACACGACAGTAATTAGTCCTATTTTGAGAATTAAAACATGGCAGTCCTATTTTGGAATTTTCAAACTTTTTTAGTCCTATTTCGGGTAATATGTCTATTATCAAATATGTAATAATAGGGTTTTGACTTTTCAATTCTTATCAAATGAAATTTCAATGCGATAAAGCACATGCGAATAGGACTCTCTATGATGATGATGATGATGATGATGGACAAAAATATTACTTAGTACGGAGTAACTATTAGTGACTATAATTATGTTCAAACTTTACACTGTAGTAACTTACATGTAACTACTAAGATTTAAATCTGAACACAATTATAGTCACTAAGTAATATTTTTGTTCATCACATTTTAAAAAATAATATTAATGGATTTTTTCATAATAATAATAAAAACAATAACAACAACAATATTAATAACAATAGTAATAATAACAACAACACTCTGTAATAATTAATATAATAATATTATTATTATTAATAGTAATTATATCCTAAGTCTATGTTCATAGTAATTAATATAGAAATTTGTATAAATTACAGTATGCATAATTATTTAAATATAATTTATTAGCATAATATCACAAGTGAATGGACAATTAGAATAAAATTAAAATAAATCCGAAGCTAAAACTATATGCGAACAAAGCATTGATGATCGCAATAATTTTTTAGAGGAAAGCACAATATTTTTTAGAGCAAAAAACTTATGATACGTATAAAATATCAACCCCAGTAAGAATCACAACTCCCCAAGATCTTAATTCAAATTCTAAAGAGGATACTCATAATAACAATCATCTATAACAACAACAACAATAACAACAATAACAACAACGGCTATTAGTTATACATTACACTTTTATTATTGTTCAATTATGCACAACTGCAAGAATAACAATAATGTACTCTCATCATCCCAATTTGTTTTACAAAAATGGTTTACGCGGTTGATTAAATATAAAGATAATCTTTCTCAACTTCTTTTACAAAAACTATATTAATTAAAAGTTCTATTGAAACGCAAATGATCACATATTTAAAGTGATTACAAATCTACAATCAAATTAGAGAAATAATAAAATGATATTGTATCAACCAAGAAAAGTAAATTAAAAATAATTTTGTGATAGAAAAATGGGGACATATGTTTTTTTAGTCCCATAGCTTTTGAGCATATTTGTGAGTCCCGTAACTTTTGAGCATGTTTGTTATTAATCACGCAACTTTACTCATTTACATATTTGGATGTGTAATCGCTAAATTTGTACACATTAAAGAGTAAATATATAATATATGATGATGGATGATTTAATATATATTCATTTAACAAATACGTAGTACAAATTAATTTTGATTATGGTTAGGTCATAGTATTTTTCATTTTAACTCATTCAAATTTGACACGCTATACACCGGGGCATTGCCCCGGACTTTACACTAGTTTTTAACCAAAAGCGGAGAAGACATTTTTTAAACGGGTAATTCTATTTACAACCCCCTTTTTACTAAATACACACCCACATTTTTTTAATTCCATTTATGCTCTAACGCGTGTGCTCTCCTATCCACACTCCACCGAAGGACGCTTATATCCACACCTTTAATGGGGTGCACTATAAGGTGCTTCTCAAAATTCAACATCTGATTATGCCATGTTCGAAGTATACAACTCGGGATTTCAATAGAAGATCACCAGATTTGTCTACTGTTATAGTTTCAAACAAAGTTGGACAACGTCTAGGATGTGCCAGATGTGTTATAAATTGTTTTCAAATTCAAGAGCCAGATTGGTCATTGGTATGGAAGGAAGGGTTTATAATCTTTGCAAAGTAGAAGTCTCTTTCTCTCTCCAGGCTATCCACATATAACTTCCACTCCGTAATTTGAATGTTTCCAAGAAAAATGTATTAACTTTTAATAATGTTATGGAGCACTGTTTCTAGAGAAAATATGAAAGTTTGAAACTGTTGAGATCATTCACACCAGTTGAAAATACGAAGGGCGGCCTCCACTTGAAAGTCGTTCTAGATGTTTTTTCCAAAAATATTTGTGGTGCTTGTGTTGGTCATAACAAGAATAAAGTCGATTGTATCTAGCTTCACAGATCTTAAACGATAGGATTTAGCTTCCCAGGTCTCTGCCTAACAAGAACACGCCTCTGCGTAAAGTAGTCGTAAACGACTCTGCGCTTAAACGATCCTTATGTAGCCACAAGGGTAATTTAGATATTTGATTTATTTGGTGGCTGTAATTAATAAAAAAAAGGGCTGTGAATAGAATTACTCTTTTTAAACCTATTGGAAAATGGAAACACCAGTTCTAAAATGGTTAATTCCGGTCCGGCTGGATTGGGAATCGTGGCTAGGTCTAGTCCAATTATAAAGGAGATAGAATTATCTGAAAGATAGTCCACGGAAGCAGAGGTGGAACCACGCCTACTTTTCAATCTCCGTTTCGCTAGAGTCCGTGTTTTCCTGAATCACGCAGCGATCAACAAAATTCCTAAATCTCTCGTAAAACCCTTTAATAGAAACCCTAGCCTTCGATCTAATCCTCAAGAATACACTACAGAATACATTACAAGCCAAATTGTAAACAGCGCGTATACACATATATAGGACAAAGCTTCGAGCTTTCAACTGAATTTCAAATTTGGGTCTTTGGGTGGATTGGGCGCAATGTCGGTCAATCGGAGAAGGAGCAATGGAGGGGAGAATCGGTTTTATTGTCCGCCGGCGATGAGGAGGCAGCAGCAAATGCAAGCCGCAGCCAAGTCGCAATCTGATAAGAGAACTGGAGAGTCTGAAGATGCAGCATCGTCAACATCAACCACCACCACCACCACACCCACCTCAACTGCATCTTTTTCGGCGAATTTGGACCGTTTCTTGGAGTATACAACCCCTAAAGTTCCTGCTCAGGTACTTAAGAGATGTATAAATTAACTACAAGGAACTTGTAGTAATCTTTTTTTCCTCTATATGTCGTTTCAGTTTTTAAAGTGGTATCTTTTGGTCTGTTGAAGCTCAACCGATCTCGTAATTTGTATTTTTTTTTAAATAATCTATTATGGCAAATTAAGTAGTGGCAGTTAAGTTGCAAGTTTTCATTAGAAATATTCAGTAAATGATAACAATGATCTCTACCTATTTTTCCATCTACATTAAGCATAGAGAGCATGGATTCTGAGTTTCCTACGTGTTTTATGATTACCACGCTCTGCATGTTTATATGCATACCTGGTGCAAAATGTACTACCTCCATCCCAATTTGATGATACCATTGCGGTTTACAAAGTTTGACTGATGATAAAGCAAACGGATCCATGTCCGCACTCAAATTATTTTTAGGAAAAAAAATTACATATTCAGAAACTACATTAAAAGCTTTACAAAGTCGCAAACACCTAGATCAAATTTGATTAAAATTTGATAAATAAAGTAAGAGATTAAGAGTGATTTGTGTTGGCCAAGTGAATAAGAACTGGTACCATCAAATTGGGACGGAGGTAGTACTTTTTTGTTACGATTACTTCCCACATATATCACGCCAAAAATGTTAAATGTCAAGTTTTTAAATTCTTCTATAGATGAAATCAACTTGGAACATTTGGAAATGTGCAGACACGCATGAGATCTTGGAGATATCATGGCAGTGATTTCAGCCCATACTTCATTTTGGATGATCTTTGGGAATCTTACAAGGAGTGGAGTGCATATGGAGCAGGAGTTCCTCTTGTATTGAATGAGAGTGATTCTGTGATACAGTATTATGTCCCATACTTGTCTGGGATTCAACTATATATAGACCCATCCAGGCCAGTTGCGGGTTCACGGTAAGATTGTTGTAGATACCATTCATTTCTGGCCCCTGCTACTTTTTGAATGAAGACTATTTCATTAACTGCATGGAATGCATAAGCCCCTTAAATGTTCAATTTATCAGTTCTTAAACGTGTCTTTCTTAAGGAGTGATTGTTGGATTTTAGTAGGCCAAGCATCTCATTGTGGGGCTCAACTCTGAGACACACACTTGTAAATTAAGTAGTCAACAAGTTTTTGTTAAAGCAAACACATGGGCTAGTTTAGGGTTAGGTTTCTCATTCCCTCTCAATTAGAAACTCTCTAACCAAAATCATACACTATCATATCCGTGTTGCGCATTGCACTGAAAGAGAAAAACAACTTCCAGTTTAAGAGGCTCGTCACATAGAGTGATATAGATAAATAAGTAATTTTGTTTGATAAAGATGAATACAACAAAGGTTGACCCATTTAATGATGATGTGTTTGATTTTTTTAGGGCTAGAGCCGAGGGTGGTATGGTATTGATTTTGATGATTAGTTAGTTGGACTTGCTATGCTAAAATGTCTTGCTTTGATAAACATTGTGTTGTAAATTAAGAGCCCATTTGGTAACACTGGAATTGGCTGCATCGACTGATTTTGCTGAAATCTACAAAGTTCTGGTTGAAGAGGCTGGATTGGCTAATTCTGCCAATTTAGAAAAAGTTATATTTAAAATATATTTTATTAATAAAATAAAGAAAATATTATATGAAAAAAATACCGTAAATGGTCCTTTACAATGACTACAGCCAATTCAGCCAGAAAATTAACTCCAACCTTACTTATTTTGATTATTACACAATTCAGCATGCGAAATCAAAAGTTACGTGTTTGGTAAAAAAACTGGTTCTAAAAAGTTGGTTGATAAACCGAAAAACAGGGTCGCTAAATGGGCTCTAAAAACTAGATGTTGGAAAATTAACTTAAGGCAGTACAAGCTTACTCAAGTTTGTAAGAATGTCCTCCACCTTTTATCTAAATAGAAATACTCAGATCTGTAAGCAACTTTTTTGAAGAGGGAAGCTATCTTGATAATTTTCGTTTTTCTGGATACCTGTATTCCTCGTGTTTTCATGTTTATGTCAGCTATAAATGGACAACTAGACTACTGGCTTGAAATCTTGCCTTTTGTAATGGTATCAAATTTCATGTTAAATTCTATTTGTCACTGTATGTGAGGCTTATAGGGTGACACACTTGTCTGCCTTATATGTGGGATATCCTCCTATATTAAAATGTGCTAAATGTGGTAATTTCTACCAATTACATCCTCGTTGTGTTCTTGTTTGGTTATTATAGGAGACCAAGTAAGGAAATTGATGCCGACACATATAGGGAGACAAGTAGTGAACATGCTGGAAAGCGGAACCAGCAGAATGCAACTGCAAATGGATTTGATAGACCATCATCAATAAACAATTCCTCCTTGAATGAGACAAGTAATCCACCTGGTGTACTTATGTTTGAGTTCTTGGAACAAAACCCACCACAGAATCGTCAACCTTTGACTGATAAGGCAAGTAATCTTTACTTGCAGGGGGTTAAGTTTTTTTATGTGTATCTTCAAAGAGTTATGCATCTTATGATTGCTTGTCCGCATAACAGATCATAAGTCTTGCATCTCAATTCCCTGAGCTGAGGACTTATAGGAGTTGTGATCTGACACCTGCTAGTTGGATTTCCGTGGCTTGGTAACTACTCCCCCCCAAATGCTCACACATTTGGTAGGTGTGCCAGTCCATTGTAATAATCGAATGACTGTTCTTATTTTGAAGGTACCCAATTTACCGTATACCTATAGGCCCCACACTGCAGAGCCTTGATGCTTGCTTCTTGACATTTCATTCTCTTTCAACATCACATGATAGTAAGTTTTTCACCATATCCATAATAGTTTATTTATTTTCAAACCCTAAGGTTGTTCGTGAATCGGTAAATATTAGGTAAGAAAGGGAAGGAAATAGAGAGGAAAATGAGAAGGAAATTTAAGGACAGGCTCATACTAAATATATTTATTTTAGATTTTTTCAAATCATTTTATCTATTATTCTATTATATGCACTAAAAAATTTAAATATATGTAAAAAATTAATCATATATTCATGTTCCATTTGAATTATCTATGGTAAAGCCATACATCACAAAAGAACCTTCCTTGGCATTTCTTTTATTTCCTCTAGAATATTTTGGAATCAATGTTATTTGAGTGTAAATTGTCCCCGAGTTTGAGAGATGCATTGATTTCATTTTGTCCAGGTACTACTAGGAGGAATGACTTGCTACATAATCATGGATCAACAAGCAGTAGTAGCAGTAGTAATAGAGGGATGCATAATCATGATAGTACTAATAATAATATGAACACCAACAATAATAATTATAATAATAAGAATGGCATGCCCGTCAAGCTCCCACTTCCAACTTTTGGGCTTGCATCTTACAAGTTTAAAGTTTCTTTCTGGTCTCCAAGTGAAGAATATGAATCTGAAAGGATCAATTCTCTTTTGCTAGCTGCTGACAAGTGGCTTCGACTATTACAAGTCGACCACCCTGATTACAGGTTCTTTGTTTCACGTAGCACATACTTTAGGTGATCTTTCAGATTTCAATCCACACATGACTTAAGTTCCCCCTTAAGAGGAGATCCTTCTGGTGTGTTCATCATTGACTATGAATCCTATACTATATGGATTGTCTTCATTCCTTGTGCCTTCCTAGCTTCTTGGCTCAGAAGCACAAAGCAGTGTTTTCAGTCCTCATTGCAAAAGAATGCTGTAGTTACCTAAGCTGTGTCTATGGTGGTACCCATAGGATATAAGTATGTTTCGTTGTGGTTGTCACATCCATTTTTTTGTAACTTAACTTCATCAACAAATAGGGGTTGATGTATCTGATAATGAGGGAGGGGGGAGCTAGCCATATTTGTAAACAACTCTTTGAATTCTTGTATTATTAGTAGTATTATTTATCATTATTATTGCACTTTTACAGAGTAGATTCTCTAATGTTTGTGTTATCTTTCACTGGATAGATATTTGAGAGTTCCAGACTGCCAAATGTTTGCATATTAGTATTTACATGCTGTGATGCCAAATGTGTTCTTGTACCAGTTATACTCTATTAGTTGAGTGTAATTGTGTAATTGGTGTGCGTGTTGAGGGGATTCTGGTACCAATACCAGCAAAGTACACTTTTTGCTTTATTTTCTAGAACTAGAATGTCACTAGAATGTCACTACAAGTTTTGAATCAAGTTGTGGAATTTTCAACTTATATCTTTAATGTGATGTTCCAAATCAGTTCTAATTTTGTGTGGGCAGATAGATTTTTTATTTTGATCCAAAATCATACACACCTAGAACTCCTAGAAGGCAGCATTTGACACTATCATGTCAAATTTGCTTGCACGGTATAATATTTTCAATCCTAAGGTCCCAGGTGATGAAGCACAGATGTTTTATACTACTTATATAATAAGACTGATTAAAGAACAGAGGGTATAGATAACATACCTATCCCTATAATAAGTTGGGTTGTTGGTTTTTATTTGTTAGATACAATTATTTTTTTATTAGCAGTAGTTTGCAGGACTTGAATACATCATATACATGTGTATCAAGCCATTCATTCATACACACATTAATGAAATATAAAGACTAAATTGGCTATTACTACGGTACAATTTACATATGTGATCCGCTTCATGCGGTCATGCCCTCACTCAGCTCACTGCCTCACACCATTGCTCTCTCCTTGACCGCATAACAACTGTATATTTGCTTAGACGCTTTTAAAAAAAGTAGACAACATAAGAGATTGAACAAATTCACATCTCTCTGCATTCTCTTCTTGGTCCTCAGAAACATGAGATGGTACGCCATTTCTGTACACACAATGAGAAGTCAGTAATCACCAAGACTAGCTGGGAGGGAGCTAAAAAAAACAGGCAGAGCACATGATTGCCAGTAAAGAAAGAATATAACATGCGCCTAGTAAGCCGAATTGATGTATCTTGGCCTAATTTTCCGTTGGGGCAAGGCATCAGGAGCCACCGCCACATTTTTAAACCGTATAAAAATGCAAACAAATCAGAAAGTGCACAATCGATACTCATAGGGAAATACCTTTCCAGAAAGTCATCATGTGAGCTCTCCTTCATTGAGGACTCCCCGGCGGAAAAACATGGTTGAGCATCAGGAGTTTCATCAGCCACAGGTGGATTGTACATAAAAGATGATAGCATAGGGTCAGCTTCTGTAGTCGATGAAACTACACGTGAGGAACCCTTATGGAAAGATGTCATGTTTCCTTCCTGTAGCTCCTTCCTTAGAATAGTATCTGTTGAATTAGAGCCTCTTTTACATCTCCTTTTGTTTTGCATGTCAAGGAAAGTTTTGAATTTAACATTATTCCAGGAATCTAATCAGGAGGTTAGAAAAACATCGATGGGCGAATAACTCAATGAAGAAGCCTGCTTTAATGCCCTTAAAAGATCATCATACAACAAACAACATTCAAATTTAACCCTTGGCTAGAGTGGCATTTCTACATTTGCTATGACCCTTTTAATCTGATGACATTAAACGATGACTTCAGTGTTGCAATCTCAAACTTAAAAGGTCGGAGGGGCTAAATGTAAAATATCAGAATGACAAATGCTGGACTAACTCTAACAAAAGATTAACAAGAAAATGATGCACACACATCACACACACATGATATTGAGGATAGACATGTTGACAATCATAAAGGATATTCTTAGAAGACTTCCGTGTTGCATAGTTATATGGCCAACCAAATCCATCCCCACCCGTGCTCCACAAATTTTGCATACCTGCATGTTCAAAATAACACAATAAAAATAATAAAAATAGCTTCAACATAAATAACCATAGCCATTGACAGGAAATCTAGTCGTGTTTAACACACAATGTGTGTGCGCGCGCTATGAAAAGATAGGGATCAGACCAAACCAACTACTCAAGCAAGGGGATTAACCCACTACTAGGCTAACCATGATCAACACACAATGTATTTCTCCTCAATGATAGATAGGAATCAAACCAGACCAAATACTCAAGCAAGGAGATTACCCACTACTAGGCTAACCATGAACCTCAATATACGGAGTATATAACACTTTTTACAATGGTGACTAATGCAATTTTCAGTCAGCACTTCATCACTTTCCAGATACACAGCACATGAAATTCTACAAATCTTATAGCAAACTAAAGATTTAACGCCGGAGTTGCAACTGCGTGAAATTTAAATGCTTAAAGGGAGAAGCTCAGATTTGCTTGGTTTCCATTCAACATGAAAGGAAAGAACACTGATAACTGTTGTAATAGAAAACACTTCATCTCAAGGCCTTTCTTGCCAAAATGTATATCCACTCAGCTACTAATAGTATATAGGAATTCCAGATACCTGTGGGAGGGATTGGTGAGAGAGTAGAAAATAGTATTTTGCTGTTGTTCCTACTTGCTAACATAGTTCCAGGCTTCCTCATGTATGGAACACAATATCACGTGCAGGTTCTAAAAAGCCCCAAACTTTAGGTGCATTGAATACAGTGTCTTCTTCATCTACATGACAAGTTGACAACATTAACTCTAGCCGCTTCTCCTCATTGGCATCATACTGATTCCCCAAGTTATATATACCTACCTACCACATAAAGATTAATTCTTCATTTCCCAGTTACAAACTCTAAAACCCCTTTTCCCAGAATAAATTTTAAATACAATTCCAACAATCTTTTCACGAGACCTAGAAATATTGCAAATAGTGAAAAAGAAAACCCAATTTTCTAGGTTTGGAGTTTTCTTGATAAGTACTCTGTAAACAGACTAGCATTTAACTTAACGTAAATATATACTCCATTTTCATCCGTCATTTGCAATGAGGCCAAAGATTCATTGTTTTTTGGCTTGAGAATATGATGGAATAAAATAAAATGGCTCACTAAACTGTCTGCGCTTCTTTGTATGAAGCAGAAGTCAGTCCATTAAATTTTGGACGCGATTTTCACTATGGGTCATCCGGAAACAGTCTCTCTGTGCTTTAGTACAGAGGTAAGACTGCGTACATCCGACCCCTCTTTATCGCACCGTAGGTGGGAGCCTTTGCGGCACTGGGGTAAATGAAAATGAATACTCCATTTAAGCTTTTATTTTAGTGTTACCTCTAAACGGAAAAAGAAAATGGGTAAAAGGAAGTCAGAAGCACAAGCTTGAGTTTTGACTAATCATTCACAAATAGTAGCGTTTGCATCCTCCCAAGAAAGAATTGCTATTCAAACTGGGTAAACACTAAAAGTAAAAACAAATCCGGTCCCTCCACTTTTTTCTTTCCAATTCCATCTACACAAACTTCAACAAGCACTCACTATTTGCAAAATTTGACTAAGGTATATATACCTACCATAATGAATGGGAGATTTCAACTAGTAGAACCTAATCATACTAATTTTCCAAAATTAAGACTAAAGATTAGCTTAAGACTTAAGTACACCTGGTTTGACCAAATTGTCCTTCCTTTTAAATTCCCATGCGCACAAACAAACTTCGCCGATGCCCCTCTCCTCTTCACGATTCTTATCGATCGACTGGGCCATCACCACCGCCGCTAATCGACTTCACTGTCGCCGACGCACCAGATCCATCATTTTCGAATTCACGCTGCTCCGGCTGACTTCATCGGACACCACCGCCAGAGATTTCTTCTTCCTCCTCCTCTTCTTCTTCTTCTTTTCTGATTTTGGACATTGATTTTGCCAATTTCAAACTTCTATTTCATATTTTCACAAGGCCACCGGGTACTCTGCAAAACTTTTGAAGAAACCAAATCCAAAATCAAACTTGCAAATACTAGACAATACATAGACAAGAAGTAGTCAGTAAACAAATAATAAGTTCTAATAATAGCTCAATAGCAGACAATACATAGACAATAAATAGTCATTAAACAGATAATAAGTTCTGATAATAGCTCAATAGCAGAGCAGGTAACGTAAAACTCAGAGGACATTGAACTTACCTTGAAATTGGGAGGAAGGGGCTTATTAGAGATTTAGAATCATCCTAGATATCGAACTCGATTTCACAGAAGTAGGGGGAATAGGGGAAGAGACGCTGGAATCCAAATAGGAAGGGTAGGAGTAGTTCTCCATGGCCGTGATTGCCGCGGAATTGATTTTTTGGCCTTTGTGCGTGTTTAGGCTACCGGCAACGACGGCCTCCCTGAGGAACGGTGCGGAAGAAAAAAGGAAACATGGAGGATGCAGATGATTAGAGGCAGAAGATTTTTTGTTTTACTTTTTAAAACTGAAGGGCAAATTTGGAAAGTTAGAAATAAATTTCCAAATCTAGAATTAAATAGGTAATACAAATGGTAAAAACATTAGGTAGTACGGAGTATTATTTTTGTAAAAGAGATATGATTTGATCCTACCAGATGCAAATTTCTCCCTAATAAATTCTATGAGAGGTTAAATACAACTGCGATGAGAGGTTACTATGCTAATAAAAAGGGTGGTCATGTGAATTGGGATCTACAATAAACCAGTAGATAGAGGGTGTCACAAAGGATAAATTTCGGGTTTGAATCCTGGCAACTGCGATGAGGGGTTACTATGCTAATAAAAAGGCCCTCTGCAAGTACAAGGGTCAGAGCCCTAGCACCAAGACCTCTGCGGTGATTAAAGTCCAACTTACATCCTCCCATCTAACTATCAGGTAGGTATTAGGAACCCTCAGTAATGAAGTGTCATCCCTTTTTATGAATTCTAGTTTTGAGGGAGATTAAATAATAAGTCATGTTTTTTAGAAATTGATTTTGTTAGTATTTACTTCGTATTTTAAACATTTATTATAAAGTTTTGTAATTGTGTGATTGAGTTTTTGCCACTTTTAGTCCTCCGACTATTATATCATTGACATTTTTGGTACTCGACTTTGAGTTTTTCCACTTTCAGTCCTTCGACTATTATGCGACAGACACTTTTGGTACTCGTCTTTGAAAATTTCCACATTTAGTCCTTTGACTTACGTAAAAGTGACAATTTTGGTATTTCAACTATTATAATAGTGACATTTTTAGTCCTCCACTTATTGTGTCAAACTCATACTTTTTTCCTATCAAGAGTTTACAATAAAAGTCAGGCCTATCAAGAGTTTTTTAGTCCACTTTTGATTATTATGAGCCCTCCATTTTTAACGGGCTCACCTTTTCTCAACTTTATGTAGTTCAGAATTTAAAAACAATAAGGAGTATGTTTTAAACTTAATGATTTATTTTTTTCATTTATCTTTTAATATGACAAGTGCGTTAAGTTAAAACATCTCTTCCACTATTCATTCTTCTTAGATTTTCCTTGGAGGCTTGGACCATAGTCTCGTACTATTGGGCTTCCTTCCAGCCAGCCAACATAGCCAACATATCTTCCCCACAAGCTACAAGTCCCCTCCAATTAACAGCAAATTCTTCTAAACTTTGTCATTCCTCGCCTTTCATAGGCTCCAACAGGAAATAACGAAAAGATAAAGATTATCTTGAGGACAACTAATACACACATTATTTACCCTGGTAAAAAATGCTCTTGCCCAAATTTTGCCAGACTTCCTTGGCCAAGAGATAGTCCATCAACACATGCATGGTACTCTCCTCCCTTTACCCACAATGAGAGCAAACTGATCATACTAGAACTCTCCTATGCACCAACCCTTGTTTAGAAGAAAGACAATCTATGCAAGCCTATCGAATAAATTTTTTAACCTAGGGCGGTAGTGCAAGCTTCCATATTTTAGCCCATGCTACATTAGGTTGGTCGCATCTAATCAGCATACAGTAACAACTTCTAACTGAGTATATACATCACTTGCCCAAATTTGCTCATCCGCTCCTCTTCCTCCTCTTAAAGGAATACGTAAAATGAGCTCCACATCCTCTTTGCCAAACAAGTTCACAATAATGTCATGGTCCGACTCATTCCTATCGTCGGCCATCAACGAGTGAACTCGAATATCATCTAAACCGTGGATGACATTATTTTCTGGTCTACCACTCTGTTGTGTGATTGACCATTTATCCTTCCACTCCCGAGTAGTCTCTTCATTCCCATTTCGAAAATTTAATCCCTGTCGATTTGTCGGCATAGCCTCGGTGATACTCCGCCAGGTGAGAGAAGGATTACTCCCACACTTTGGCGTGCAGAATATCCTTCTGAGCAAAGTAGAGAGCCTTAAGCATACTCCCAATAAGAGAATTTGGATTTTTCAGCAATCTTCTCACGTGCTTACTCAACATGGCAATGTCATAATCTTTGGGTCTTTTGAATCCCGTGCTCCCTTTAGTTTTATAGGGACACACAAATCTCCTTATCTCTTCCACCGAATGCCCTTTCTTTTGTACGCATGGCCTCTCCACCAGAAAGCATCCACTACCCTCTCTGTCTCATTTCACAATTCAGTGGTAGTAAAAAGACATTCATTGCATATTGAGGCATGGCTTGAATCACTGTCTTGATCAAAACTTCTCTTCATGCCTGGATAGAAATCTGCAATTCTAGTTTTGGAACATCTGAACAACCTTTTCTTTAATGTAAACAAAAATCTCTCTTTTAGTGCGCCCTATCATGGATGACAAACCGAAATGTTTGCCTCCTCCTCTATCTTCTTGGACCCCCAAGATACCACTTAAATAGTCTTTATCATCCATGTCACATTTGCACTGAACTGCACACTTGACTTGTGACACCGCACCCGGATGTACTTGAATTTGAAATTTGATATGTATTCGAATTTCCTAGCGAATAAATCGTGTAACAGAATCATTGTTCTAAAAATCGATCTAGGCACCCGACTAGTCCCCGCCTAGGCGCTAGGCGGTGGTCAGGCGCCCCAATTTTGATCTAGGCGCTCTGACTAATTGATTTGGCGCTTGGATGAACTAGTCGACCATCTAGGGCGTCTAGTTGCCCGCTCAGAGCGCTTAATCGGCCGCATAGGGGTCTAGATTCATCAGACTTTTTTTTGGCGCGCGCTTTTTTATTTTAGTATCCTGAGATATATACATGCCTTAATCTTTAACAACGCATATGAGGAAAGCTACTAGTGAGTAGGTGAGTAGGTATAATATATTATTAAGTGTGACAATTCTATCATTCATACATGTAAATGTGTATGTGTGTGTATAAAAAACACACAAACACAACATTACTAATCATATCTATGCACAAATATCAAGTCTAGTTTGTCCATACCAAATTTCAACTCAAAATTCGATCGGGAAGGCATTCAAATCATTTTTTGAAGTTGACTGAAATTTGGTATAGACAAACTAGACTTGATGAGGAACATGCTCAAAAAATTCCACCGGAAAGGGTCCCAAATGTCCATGTTCGGACGGGTGTTCGAATCAGGAATGTTCGGACCTGAACATTGCTCTATACACTAAGTATATAAAGTACGAACTTAAATATGAACACAGTGTGAAATTGTACAACAATCGCTACTAAATCAAAATGATTAGATCAACTTGGTAAACTGAAGTGATAGTTATGGCGACAGAAAAGTTGCATGCGAAATTCAATTAGTAAACTACTTAGTAAATGCACTTACAAAGTTACAAATACTAACAGACATGTACAAAGAAGTAAGAGACATGTACATTCCTCATGATCACAATAACCGTTGGAAAAGAAAACAGGTAGGTGTGAACATTGGACCGAATAAATTATTAATAAACATGCAACACAATATATCCACTCAGAAATTAAAGATGAACTATTCATGCATTTCTATTATCTACGGCCTATTTATTATATGTGCAGTAAAACCATAAAGCAAAAAAAAAATGCAGACATGCGACCTTCAAAAGTGAAAGGATCAAATACGGAGTATATTTAAAAACAACAATTTATGCGAAGAAAATAAAGATGTAAAATTATTACATTGAATGGAATTCACAAACTGACATGCAAATTATAAATGCATCATAGAGTCACTGGTCTACCAGATAGATTAAAAAAATTATGAAACCAAACGAGAAGAAGACAGTATCCGCACGCAAAACAGGACAAAATACAAAAACGTCTTAAGATTGTTATCCAAAATTCATATATATCTGCACGCATTAATTAGATAAATAGAAGTAAAAGAAAATACTTGTATCAACCGAGCCCAACAAAAGTGTTGTCTCCTAAGACGTTTTAGCCCGACACACGTAGCAAGCGTCTCCCAGGATAGAACGGTTACGTTCTTCGCTCCCAACGGGATTCCGGCGAACTCAAAGATGCAATGAAGGAAGATAGAATTTGAGGAATTGTTTGTGAATTTTCGGATGTATCAAAAGTGAAGACAAGGCGGGTATTTATAGAGCTCTGGCCAAGAGTCTCTTAACCCAAAAGACACCTTTTAAAAGAAAGTTCATGACCTTTCTTTTAAAACGAATGGTTGTGTCTTTTATTTGGTTTTATCCGAAAAACGTAGCAAAAATAAATCTTCCTATCTTAAGCCCGATTGTTGACTCGTCAAAGACCCGAACCCGACCGACTGGCGGCGGCAGTGTATGTGTGTTAAGTATAATTTCACGCTTATCTTTTGGGGAATAATTTCTCATTCATTTCAAAATGATTTTTACAAATAATATTAATGACCATAATATTAATTTGTAAAACCATTTTTCCAACACCATGTGAGATTGTAATTCTTTTAAATCTATCGCACTGTTGTATTTATATACGGAGTATTTTCTTATACGTAGTATGTTTTTTTTTTTGCTATGGTGGGGCTTGAGTACTTCTTACTTGTGAGATGCATGAATATGTGCCATCATACATTCTTAAGATATCTTTTTCCGACTCAAGGTTTAGTTTTGGTTGATTCATTTTTTTGCTTTTTATTTACTTGTGTAAATATATAGATAGTATTAGGTTAGGTAATTTGGGTCAACTTTCATGGTTCAACATTTCTGGGGGTTAGTCTTGTGGTCATATGATGACAGCTGGAAGAGGTATATTCCTAATCCAATTGAAACAGAATCATATGCAATTCTGATTTAATTGGTACTCGGGTACTAAACCGACCTGACCCGAACTGAATCGAAGCGACTTAAAGAATTCATCAAAGCTTTGATATTTTTTAATAAAATAACAAATTCAAAACGAACCTATTCAACACACAATTTGGTTTCACTTGCCCATAGTTCTCCGGGCCGTTTCAAATCGAACTGAAAACCTTAACGCCCACCTGGCCACTCTTGGTTCACGCATAGTCTGACAATGATGGTTGGAGCCTAATGATTATAGCTTGATGCCAATTGAGCTCTGTTTAAAAAGACTTGAGACCCCCAACTTCAATTTGCTCCATATCCCTAATCTCATCTATTGTCAATGCTGGGAAGTATCAGTTCACAACCTCTGGGGTAAAGTAATTCAACACATTTGTGGTAGACGCGCATAGTACAACACAAATAGAAGCTAGGTTTTCACAAATTAAATGAGGGTCCATTTTTACTAATAAATTGTCCTCTTAGCATATGGAAGATACCCTAATCCAAAGCCAAAACATTCCTACGCAAACAAGGATTTTTAATTCATAAAATGAAACCGGCTACGAGTACATGATTTGACTTTTGGAACATCCATAATATACAGAGCATTTGGTAAAGTAACTTCCACCACCTAATAACATTCCAGTGATTTAAAAAAGAATATTGCGCAAATGTCACATTAAACAGACATGTATAGTGGCCTACTACAATATTTGATCTCTGGGCCCATAAAACCTGGAGTAGGAAAACCCTTCATACAAGATTACATACAAGGATTAAAGGTAGTTTGAGGTTCGCTGTCTAATAGTAACAAAAATACACTAAAGAATGAACAAATAAGACAATGAAACAGGGGGTCATACCCATTGAGTTGTTATTGTCTTATCAACACGACGAAGACAATGAGAGTAAGACATGAATATGTCAGAATGGAAGATCTTACTCTCAATGAATTACTCTTGGGAAGTAGTTTTGGTATTGAGCACTCTTCACCATTAAAGTAAACCTTGGTTGGGAAACCATCACCAGCAGCAATTTTGATACCAGGGGTATTCTTCTTGCTGAATGAGATCACAGACTGTTGTTTACCCGGCACTCTGGGATCCTTCAGTGGGTTAGCTCCGTCCGTCTCTCCCACCAGAAAGTTGAGTCCAGTAAGCCCTTGCATGAATATCGTGTTGTTGACACCACTCATTATACTACCATTAAATGAGTAGACTGCCTCGAAACCAGATGCACTTTTATCCAACTCCACTGCAGCAAACCAATCAGCAAATGGAGACTCATCCCAGTTAAAGAGTGTCATCCTTGCAGACCATCCGCCCCTGTAGTCTGTGAACAAATGCCAGTTGATACTAACACCACAGTTATCTGCACATGGCAAAGGGTATGAGACAGAGAAATGATTAAGTGAAGCCCATGCTAATGCCATTTTAGTCCTATTTTCAGCAGGAACCAACAGAGACTGGGCTGGAAGGAGAAGAGCTGGGGATTTGGTACTACAAGTTCTTGGTGTGTTGGCAGGGCAGCCACAGGCACATGTTGGACAAGGAATGACAGATTCATTGTAGTAAGCGGAGAAGGAGACGCAGCATCTCGGGCTTGCTCCCTTCGGTTGGGTGATGTTGCAAACCACTTGCCAGCTGGCAAATGCCGCTTTGTTAGGAAGCAGTCCGCTCGGGTCAGGAAATTCGCTGGGAGAGACGCGGACAGGGGGCCCACATTTGTAATCCGGATTCAGCCGACCGCTGATCTTCCAGTTCTGTGGAGGGGTGAAGGAGGAACGATTCAGATCTGGCGGCATCTTGAACACATTCATCAGGAAGGCAGACACGGATTTGCTGGGGTCCATTGCGGGAGGCAAGATTGTGCCGTTCCTGCAACAAAAAGGAATCATCCCCAGGGTAGTGTCATTGGCCTTCTCTAGAGGTAGGTCAATGATGGTCGGCCTCCTGTCACAGTTCAATACAGTGGAGAAGTCGAGGTCTTTGTAATACTCGCCCTGCTTGCCAAAGATGCACTCGGATGAATCTACAAGTGACGGGTAAGCCCCTTGCATGATATATATGAACTCATCTCTCATCCAATCCCAGCTCAGCTTCCAGTTGTCAAGACGGCCAAGTGGGTTGTGGTTTGCAATGGAAACCTGTGCCCAATAATTTGATTCATAGGTTCTTGTGATATCATACATGATAGTAAGATCACCATCCCGGCGTGGTAAGAATTCCCCATCTCTGGTTAGATTAGCCTTGAATTTCGGGTCTTTTGCACAACACACAAGCATAGTGCTGTTTCCTGAAAGACACGAACTTTAATTAAAACTCAATCTTTTCTTAACAAGTTATAATAACTCATATCAGGTATTCACAGCAAAATGGCAACAGAAAATAATGGATTTTTAAATAGCATAATAGTCCATGCTAGTTCCATCAAATTTACCCCTTTAGATGCCTCATTGATGCAGAAGTTTATTATACTCACACCCATCTGACAATAAAAAGAATTTAATGTGGGATTCAAAATTTCAATCTTTTTCTTACAATTTCGAATTTAAACGAGAAATATATCAGGTTTGGGCTATATGTCTATTGCAAGATCATGTAGTAACAAATATAAGTCATCATTCATTTGATCATGACCCTTCAACTAAGGACACATGTCTGTCTTTTGAATGACTTGACCAAAATTTCCCAACACAGCTAACTTTGGTTTCGTGTTATATATCCCACTGGGAATTACAAATCACTGGCCGCATCAGTCTATCACTATCAGCAAGTAAGTTACCGGGAAAGGAAAAAGAAGTAACAAAGCACAAACCTCGAATAGAGGGTTTAGGACAAAGGAAGCCATCATTGACGAGAGAGATATTGGATGGCATGGGAGCATTCACTAAACCTACTCCGAACTGAGTACCAACTAAGTCAACCTGAACACTCGTCTGAGTCAAATCACCGGCAGTCTCAATTGCAGTCTTCAGATCCGAATTCGGGAACCCTGCGAAAACAGTTCCGTTGCCCACGGCCGCCGGTAACGAAGTCCCGTCGTCGAGGACGGCGTTGGAAGCGGAGACGAGGAACTCATCGTGCTGAAACCCGACGAAGACTCGCCAGGACTTGACCTCGTCAAGGCCGTTGTTGGTGATGCTAAGAGTGGACTCAAATCGGTAGGGTTGGCGGGTCTTGACTGTAGGCTTTAGAATGGAGCCCGAAGTGTAGGCGTACTGCAAGAAGATGCCGTTACAGTCGTCGGCCGGAGAGGAAGCTGTAGATTTCTGAGCGTGGGCGCAGTATATCTCAAAGCCGAGGAGGAGAAGAAGAAGGCAGAGAGACAGGGATGCCATTTTCTGTTTGAATCTGTTTTGACGAACTCAGTTCAAAATATTTGTGATTGAAAATTATTATACTCCGCAGCAAATTGTTTCTGACAACAGCATTAGAGCGTTGTCGTAAAGTGTGAAAGGAAAATGCGGCAGAGTGACGGGGAGGCACGAAGAACAAGCTCGTTCAAAATAAGCTTTAGCGACAGCCTAGTGGAAGCTGTAATCGCGTTCTCATACAAAATTACAAACTCAGATTATTATACTTCCAAAAATAATTTAAATATCTCAAGTTTCAAAAAATAATTTAGAGCACATTTGTTGAACACGTGACTCATAATTTCAGTTTCTTCAATAAACACCTCATTTTTAATTTCGCGCACTGAATAATGTAATAAAAAAGTAAAGTTGGAAGACCATTTTAACTATTTATTCATGTAATTTTTTCTTTATTTTATTAATAAAATATATTTTAAACATATTTTTTCATAAATCCGATGAATCAACCAATCCAGTCACTTCAACTCAAACTTCATAAATTTTAACGGAATCAACCGAAATAGTCGATTTTAGTGTTACCAAACGGACTCTTAATCTTATCATCAATATATTATATTATAACCTATATATATTTAGTTTTGACCGAGTTTACCCGGCATTGATCGGGTTGATTTGTCGTGTCTCGGGTGACCATTGAGTCTATGGCCCAATCATCATGCGAGTAAATAGAAGTGAAGTAAATGGAAAATTATCCTAAATAAGATTAAAAACGTCTCTATATTCAAAAATATGACGATCATGTTTTCTTCCTTAAATTAGTTAAATAAGAGAAATTAGAGTGAATTCCCCAAAACATAGGTAAAATGCAAAAATATGAGTATCATGTTTTGATTATGAGTAATTTTAGTGTTTGAACAAATATACCCATACCCAAGCCTCATGCCCCAACCAC